CAGTCCATTGCTACCTTTTGTGGAAAAACGGCAGGAATTGTGGGGTGCTCATGTTTTACTTGGAGCAGCATTATGGGACAGATTTTGAATCATTGTATTTCACTTCTTAGCAAACATGAAACATTGGTCCTTCCTATGGCTCTCCTCCTTGCATTATGTAAGTGTCTTCATCCGTAAACTCCCATTTCTCATAAAACAAAGACCTTTTTGGTTTGGTTTTTCTAGCTTTTTTACTTTGTAGGGGTCTTTGAAAAATCTCAGCCATTGTAGATTTCTAAATTACTAATTTCTTATTTTAAGTTTCCTATTCAGGTCTAAGCCCAGTTAACAGAAAGAACAGATATGCCTTTCTTTATCTCAGCTATTGGGTCTAAAACAATACATTTTACACTTTCCTGACATTAATTTTTATTTTGTTTCATATCAAGTCATTTTTATTTTGTTTACAGTTTTAAATCTTGACCCGTCTACCTCTAAGAAAGACTTCTGAAATAGTGTGTTTCCTAAATAGGTTCTTGTTCTGTCAAGGCCAGTTTTTAAAATATGCTGGGTTCTTTGAATCTGGTCTTTCCTATTCTGCTTTTAACATTTTTCTTTATAAAGAGAAAAGTAATTAGTGATTAAGTTGAAATCCAGAAACAAATTTCTGTCTTCTAAATCCTGAGATTTAAGAAAATTCCTTAACCATAACTTCAACTAAATCTATACTCATGTTTAAATTCAGTTTCTATTTAGTTCTTTTACTCCAGCAATTAAAGAGGTGAGTATAATTGTTCCTTTGGTGACAAACCCTCAAGAAAAGTATTTCAGAGGTAAGGGGAAGGAGCAAAAGGAATAGGATTGTGTGGGTAGTGTGAGTAAAGAGAACGATTCAAGAAGAGTAGGCTCTCTTAGTCATTTTGAGGCCCCAGAATACCAATTAAAGAAGTTGATTATTGAATGTTATTTTGTCTAATAATTTTTTCTGTAGTTACAGTTTCTCTTAATGTATTAATTTTGATATTTTAAAAGTTGGCCATAAGTCCAATTAAGTCATTCTTGTCAGTCACAATTTTTGTCATTTGCCCATATACGTACAAGAGTCAAGATTAAGTGTGCCTGGGTGGCTCAGTCGGTTGAGCATCCGACTTCAGCTCAGGTCATGATCTCACGGTTTATGAGTTCAAGCCCCCGTGTCAGGCTCTGTGCTGACAGCTCGGAGCCTGGCGCCTGCTTCAGATTCTGTGTCTCCCTCTCTCTCTGCCCCTCCCCCACTCATGCTCTGTCTCTCTCTGTCTCCGAAATAAACATAAAAAAAAAAAAAATTAAAAGAATCAAGATTATATTGAGTTTATAAAAAACACAGAAGTTCTTCCTAGGGAAAGTTGTGGCTTTGACAACTAAGAAAGCAGTCCCTAGAGTTAAGAAAAAGAGTATCCCGTTAATTAACTGAGAAGAGGCACATTGGGAACTTTCTGGATGATGGAAGGGTTTTAAATTGTAATGAGGGCTGTGTCTGTGGTTGTGAGGGTATTAGCATACGTCAAAATTCATTTCACTGTTTAAGATCTGCTTGTTTCACTGGATAGAAATTATTCCTAAGTAAAAGTGATTTAAGAGTGCTTTAGGGGTGCCTGGGTGGCTTAGTGGGTTGAACATCAGACTTTTGGTTTCGGTTCAGGTCATGATCTCACGGTTCAGTGAGATCGAGCCCCTGTATAGCACAGAGCCTGTTTGGGATACTCTTTCCCTCTCAGCCCTTCCCCCACTCACTCTCTTTCTCAATAAATATTTGGAAAAAAAATTTTTTAACAAGTGTGTCTTTACAGATTCTCGGGTTCCCTGACCAAGCAGAGGTTAGGGAGGAGCTGCATAATCAACAGCCCCACAGTTATTGACCTTATAATATACTGTCACAAAATTTTGCAAGTGACCCAGAGTGACATTTGACCAATCATTTGCCTCTGCCTAAGGGGCCACTGGTTTTACTCATCTTCAACGTTTAGTGCCTGGGGCCAGCTTGAATTGGACTGGAGGCTTGTGGGGCCTATGCCTCCATTCATTCCAAATGGAGCATTCCTTTATTCAGTGATTGGAAACAAGACAGTCCAGGACAAAACAAAACACATGACACAAAATTTTGCGCACATAGGTGAACAAAAAGCAAGTAGCTGAAGAATTAAACTAATGGCAAAAATATTTACCAAATAGTACACCTCCAAGCCATATCCAAAAGGCTTCATTGCATTCTACAAAGACCTGCTTGGTACAAATGCTGGGATAACAAAATAAATTTGGCAGTGTGAGCTCAAGGAGCCAGTTGGAGTTCCCATCATTGTTGAGACTGATCCATGTGATGGCAAATTCATAGAACAAACAAATTGGTCGGACACAAGCATCCCATTCAGTACATTTGTTTGTCTAAGGGCATCATGTGGAATGATGCTAAATGAGGGTCTAAGGTCAAATATCAAAGAGTGGAAGGCACCATTCAATATCTGAAACAAAAAGCACAAAGCTGCAGTTATTGGTTACTTAAGGGAAAGATATCCTGGTCAGACACCTCCCCTCAGCAGACCAGACTTCTAATCTTACAGGGTTTGAGGGAATCTCAAGAGTTCAAACATTGACAAACTTTCAAAGGCAGGAGTGAATTAATGTCAACTGTAGAAACACTGTCAAGGCAGTTGCTTGGCATTTTGGTGTATGTTCATTGAAGTGAGTTGTTTTTTTAAGTAATAGATAAACCACGATGAAGTTATCAGAAATTGGCACAGCCCAGCTACATGAAGGATAAAAGAATGCAGAGAGATGAGTCTAGTTTTCTTGATGTTAAAATATTTGGTTTACTGTTACTGAAGTATTTGGGATGTTTAGGAAATTCTTATCCCCAAAATTACCATATTTTCTCTAGTTGGATTCAGAAGCACAAATTTGGAAACATCTTTCATAGAACCTGAAGTTTTTAAAACAGTATTTCTCAAATTGTTCAGTATAGATCCTGTGTGGTTGAGTAATGTCAGCATGGGACTGGTAATAGAATTGCCACCTGAATAATCCTGTTTTTAAATGATTTTTTACATTAAAAAATAAATTTGCAAGAGTAATTTGTCCTAAATTTGTATGGATACTACTGTGTGAAATATTCTTAAAGCTAAAAGTAGATCCAACTTTTATATCCCCTTTTCTAAAATTATAATCTGGTAAGAATCATCCAGGTCACAAAAGTCAAGGAGACAGTGTTCAAGAACTGGGGTAAAAGTCCATGGAAATGATGGATTCAATCAGTGTAGAAATAAACATAGGAACTAGTTAAGTGGAGAAGTTAGCTAATTTAGTTGGTTGGTTTGGGCGATTTTCCTCCCATTAAGGAGAAGAGAAAATATGCTAGATAGTCTACATATTTAAAGTCAGAAATGGAGAAAGTTTTGAAAGGAAGCCATGGCAATAGATACGGTGTCCTAAGGAGAAATAAAAGAGTGGCATAAAAAGGTAAAACAAATGATATCTTTTCTAAGACTGTAGAAAGTCTTAGAAAAGGAAAGAGTATATAAAGAGATTTAACACAAATGTGCCTAAATTGAGTCCCTTCTTGATTGACTGACTTTTAGAAGTAAGGGGCTGATGGTAATGGCTAGTTTGCAGAAGCATGTTCATTCATTGAAGCAATTGGTTATTGGTAGATTAAATGTGTTTAAACCAGTTCTAGTAGTTACTTGTTAACTATAACTATAGAACTATCATTTCTTGATTAAGAAGATTTAGAATTGGGGCGCCTGGGTGGCTTGGTCGGTTAAGCGTCCGACTTCGGCTCAGGTCATGATCTCACGGTCCGTGAGTTCGAGCCCCACGTTGGGCTCTGTGCTGACAGCTCAGAGCCTGGAGCCTGTTTCAGATTCTGTGTCTCCTTCTCTCTCTGCCCCTCCCCTGTTCATGCTCTGTCTCTCTCTGTCTCAAAAATAAATAAACGTTAAAAAAAATTAAAAAAAAAAAAAAAGATTTAGAACTTATTCTGGTGGCTACTTTATATAATGGCCACTGACCAATTACTGTTTTCTAGGAATGTAGGAGTTTTGTATTCTTACATTATTCTCCTAGCCTGGAAACTTTTAGGATCTTCTTTCTCTATCCTTAGTATACTGAAATTTTAGTTGTTTCTTTTTGGTTTGGTTTTGATTTCCACTAATTCATCATCCTGAACATGCCATAGTTTTTCAGTCTGGGCACTCATATTCTTTAGTTCTGCCTCTGATTCCTGACCATTGTCAGGCTCCTTGTACCTTCCCCCATTTCAGGAATAGATATTTGGTCTGCTTTCTCTGCTAACTCATTTACCATTCATGTATCCCAGGGGTTGGCAAATTTTTTCTGTAAATGCCAGATAGTAAATATTTTAGGCTTTGTGGACCAGATGGCCTATGTTGTAACTACTTAACTCTGTCACTAAAGCAAGATAGCAACTACAGACAATACACAGATGAATGGACATGACTAAATTTCAATAACTTTATGTACAAAAACAGGTGATAGACTGGATTTGTTTGCAGATCTGTGCTGTAATCTGTTCATCTTTATTGGAATATTGCTCAGTGAGGGCAGGAATTTGTTGTTGTTGTTCATTGGATATATCCCTGTACTTAGTAGGCACTCTACTTGGGTCTCAAGGTTACAGATGGTTCAGGAAAAGGAGTTAAACATGCCTGTCACTGCCATCTTGTAACCAGTAAAATATCCCTTCATGCTGTTTTTCAGCCCCCCCCCCCTTTTTTTACTTAATATAGAGCAAATATTCTGTATAAATTTAGGATAGGGTTGCAAGTTGTAATTTTGTGGCTTCTTTCTACCTCTGATGTTGCATAAAGAGCCCTACCAACAGCACCCGTTAGTAAGTCTGTTTATGGAACGTGCCACACTAGTATGGTAGAGTAATCATTTTTAAGTTACTTGGTTGAATATCTAATTTATAAAAGAAGCACATGAATACAAAGACATTACTTAAGAATTTTTTTTTTTTCATTACAAGGTACTAGCTTTGACAAGCGTGCACCATGCGTGAGTATAAGCTAGTTGTTCTTGGCTCAGGAGGCGTTGGAAAATCTGCTCTGGTAAGTCATTCTCACTGTACTTAAGCTAATTCACTCCAACACATGTTCTTTTTCTGTTGAGTTTTAGGTTTTGATTATCATTTATTTTGTCTTCATTTATTTTTAAGGTGAAATCTCAGTGATTTTAGAAGCAATACAATATTTTTTTCCTGTAATTTTAGTCAACTTTTACTTGTATCTGGGTAGATCATATCCCCCCCTGGTGTATTAGTTCCAGACCAACATGAGATAAGCAGAATACAATTTGGGCTAAGCACAGAACACATAAATGTGTGTCCATCTGTATTCTGAGCCAGATAGGAATGAATTTTGGTCTTTCTCATTGTGACTTGGCTTATAGTATACATTTTATGCTAAAAAATATTAAAGCTTATAAAAAACCTTTTTCAAATATTTCCTATGACTGTCCAGTTTTCACATTATTTTAGCAGCCATGCTTTCCATTTCAAGAATAGTATAGTAAGAAAAAAGAAAACTTGACAGTAGTGGCTGGGGAAGGGGAGAAACTCAGGCTAAATAACTTGAGTACATGTAGTTCAGTTCAGCAAAACCCCACGATAAGACAGATTGACCATCTAACTCAGCCACTTACATTGGCCACCATGCACAGAACTTGATGTGTTTAGATCAAACTGCAAAGTAGGTACCATGGGACCTGAGCTGCTCTTTCACTTGTAAATGTATCCAAAGTGATGGGCGGTGTCTTGAGGGTGTATGTACTTGTGTACACAAAATAATTAGCCTCTTTCTAATTCAAGTCAAATTTAAGCCATTGAGTTTGTTTGAAATAGAAGACATTTAAAATTTTTTTAAATATGTGAGCTCTAAAGTTAGAATTACCTAATAAGGAGCATAGTGGTTACTAATGTTTTTTTAAAAAAGCTTTCTAAGGTAATTTTCTCACCTAATGCATACTTTAAATATAGTGGTGGTTTTGTTTTCATCAATGGCATAAGTGCCTATATGAAATCAATAGTTTAATAGTTTAAAGCATACATATTTGGATTTGTAGTTTTCTTTAAGAAGTATAATGGTGTGCTATTTATTTTTTTCAGACTGTACAGTTTGTTCAAGGAATTTTTGTTGAAAAATATGATCCTACGATAGAAGATTCTTATAGAAAGGTACATGTTACCCTAGAAAGCCTTTTGCTTTAGACTTTACTATAAATATAAATGAATATTTTTAGCTTTGTAAGTGTTGAATATTGTTTACAAAGTAGGATGAAGAAGCTGAGTTAATCTATAAAATTAGTAGGAAAAGTTCACCCTTGATTATATCCTGACATTGCATCCTTACCAGTTAATGAGAATCTTAAAACACTTGTTCTCTCTCTCTCTCTCTCAGAGAGTTTTAAGTTTACAATTAAAGTTTACAATTAAAATTGTAATTTGACACACAAACTTCAGAACGAGGCCATCTCAAGTGATAGTTCCACATCCCCTCACCCTTCCCCCAAAGACTGAATACTCTCAGGTTTCTTTCTTTTTAAATTAGAGATGGAAATACAGAAGTCTCCCGTAACCTTTTTACTTATAACTCTTTGAGAAAGTGCTACTGCTGCTGTTAGTGTCCACTAACACAACATGTGACAATAAAACTTAATATGAAGATGTTTTTAATTAGTCGGGAGAGAGTTCTCTCTTATGTAATAGCCAGCTTGTCCTCTGCTGCTGTGTAGATACCGTTTTACTTCTTATCCTAGGAAATGTTAGGTGGAAAGAGGTCACAGGGATATATAACTTATTTGATACATGTCTTCTTCTTTGCTACCAGAAATGTTCCAGTGCAGCGAAGGGGATGTAGTTATCTAGAGAAGTGAAGGTATATCTAAGTAAAGTATGGCAGTGATAAGATAGAATGACTTCTGATCTTATTTGGAACTACTACTGGTTTAAATTATTTTTTGAGCTATTTTGGAATCCTTTCCTCCCCAGAATTAAGTTCTGAGTGATTCGTATTGAGCTTGGATCTTGTAGGTTTCTTTGAGTTGAGAACACATGGTTTTAGGGGCATCTGGATGGTTCAGTCTGTTGAGCGTCTGACTCTTGATTCTGGCTCAGGTCATAATCCCAGGGTCGTGGGATCGAGACCCACATCAGGCTCCACACTGAGCATGGAGCCTACTTAAGATTGTCTCTCTCTGCCCTTCTCCCCTACTCATGTGCTCTGTGTCTCTGTAAAATAAAACATTGAAAAAAACAAACAAACAACATGTTGTTTTGCACCTTACACAGTTTTGGGATTGAGACCCACATCAGGCTCCACACTGAGCATGGAGCCTGCTTAAGATTCTCTCTCTCCCTCGGCCCTTCTCCCCTACTTGTGTGCTCTGTGTCTCTGTGTCTCTGTAAAAATAAAAATTAAAAAAAAAAAAAAGCAAGCATGTCATTTTTGCACCTTACACAATTTGGGGGGGTGGGTAGGGTCAGTGGACCTTGATTATCTAGCTGGTTTTTTCTCCTGTTTTATTCAGGTATTGCTTGAGATTAGTTGTAAAGTGGCAATCTCTATTTTAAATGTCATATTAGCTTTTGTATATAATGAAGTATTCTTTTATATCTTATAAAAATGAGGATGTGTTTTGCTTTCTCCCCCAGCAAGTTGAAGTAGATGCACAACAGTGTATGCTTGAAATCTTGGATACTGCAGGAACGGTATGTAAAACAAGTACCAAAGTATATGTACAACTTGTGTAATATTGACCTTGTAAATACTAGTACTCTATAGACAAATACTAGTTAAGCTTATTTAAAAGTTTACTACTTGCCTTAAATCTTAAAGCTGTTTTGTTCTCTTGGATTCTGTTTTTTATGCGTGTGCTTTGTAATTGCAGCGGGTCATTTATTGAAGAAAAGTAGAAAATTTGTTTGAAAATTTTCAGCCTCACTAGTACTTTTAAAACAAGTTAAGCTGTACTATCATATTTTAATTAATGTGGAAAATACTTTGGTAAACATTTATTTCTCAGTGGCTCGTGAAATATCTTGAGCAGTATCTTTCCTCCTTCAAAGTATTTATAGACCAACTTAGATTTGTTGGTATCTGAAGGTGAAGGGAAGATTTATTCTGGGTATATGGTATTCATTCATCTAATGTTTGAGTACCGGAAATGTGGCATGGGCTGTGTTCTTACTTGCAAAGGCTCTCAGTCTAGTGAAGGAGGAAAAATGTGGGAAAATGGCAAGATAAGGTAGGTAAGCATGCTGGTGGTCCCCTTAGAGCTATAGTAAACTAGCTAGTAAATGAGCTGTGAGTAACTTGGGGATTGTTTCAGTACCCTACATATTATATGTTAAAAAACTGCCTTTTGGGGGGCCAGGGTGGCTCATTTAGTTAAGCGTCTGACTTCAGCTCAAGTCATGATCTCACGGTTCGTGAGTTTGAGTCCCGTGTCGGGCTCTGTGCTGACAGCTCAGAGCCTGGAGCCTCCTTCGGATTCTTTTGGAGAAAGGATATTTCTTCCCCACTTAAGTATATTTATTGCACATAAATCTGCTTTGGTTGTTTTATTGTTAAGTAAAAATTTCATGAAATACCAGTTTTCAAATAGCATCTTGCCATGGACTATAATTTTAAGTAATGTTACATAATACTACTATATTCTTCATCAAGCACTAATTATAGACGTTTAAAATTATCAAATTAACTGTAAGAACTTTGTTTTTTAATGATCCTTTGTTTCTGCTATAGGAACAATTTACCGCAATGAGGGATTTATACATGAAAAACGGACAAGGCTTTGCATTAGTTTATTCCATCACAGCACAGTCCACATTTAATGATTTACAAGATCTGAGAGAGCAAATTCTTCGAGTTAAAGACACTGATGATGTAAGCTGATTTCCTAATGAATATATTTTATTTCAAACCCTTACTGTAGTGATACCCAGTTTAAGAATTTGAATTTAAATCCAATTTAAAGTTCATGTGGTTGGTGGGGGGTTGGGGGACTAGTTTTTCGAAAGCTTTTTTCCTTAAAAGGCAGAAATACATCTTTAACACTCATAGTATTTTCAAATATTTATAACGTGGAAAGTAAGAAATCCCCTCCTCCCTTCTTAACCTGTGTAAAAGAAATTTTATCCCCCTCTCTCTTTAAATCATGCATTTGGTGGGAAGGAAGGAAAGATGTGGGTGGCAAATGTTACTAATAGATGTTCTATACATTTTTGGTAGACTTAAGAGCCTTTCAAACAAGAATCAGAACTACATATGAACACACCTCAACTGATAGAAAAGGAGCATAATAATATTTTTAGAAGGAAGCCAACAAATACATTAGATTCTAACATTAACCTGCATACCTCTTCACAGTGCACCATAATGGAGTTTAATCCCTGTAGGAAACTTTAAAAGGATTACTTAACTTCCTCATCATACTATAGATAGCAGTTCTCAGAATTGATCTTGCATCAGAACCAGCTATATGCCTAGTTAAAACAGATTGCCAACTCTGACTCCCGCAATTTCTGATTCAGTAGGTCTAGGATTAGGGCTCAAGAATTTCCATTTCTAACAGGTTTCCAGATGGTGTTGATGCTGCTGGTCTGGGTATCACACTTTTAAGAACCACTGTATTATATACATAACTTAATTATAAGCAAATATTGTAAGAGTTCAGAGGCATCTGTGGGAAATGTTCCCATTTCCTTGACTTCTAAAACAGGAGAACTTTGGGGAATTATTACATCTTTACAGCTCAGTGAACATTTCACAATTAGTCTGTTTTCTGCTATTTCTGATAATTAGTGTTCTTCTATCAGTTACGTTAAATTAAATAAGTATGAATATAAAATTTTATATCTGTTCCTAAAAGCCAAAATTCTTGATATTCTAATTTGGATTTTTTTCCCAAAAATTCTCTAGAAAACCAATCTCTAAATGATTAATAGGAATTTTACAGAGTAAGTATTATTTATCTCTATAGTGTCCTTTTAAAGTTACAGACATCACATGATTAAGGTTGTCTAAATTTTTAGTAAAAACTAAAACTTTTAGGAGCTTTCCAAATTTCTCCTTTTTATATTATTAAATTAAGAATGATTATTTGATAAATGCATGTCGGTAAACCAAAAAACTTGTAATTGATTCACATCCCTTAGAAAAACATTTAAAACTTTTGAAATATATTGACATTTCATAGTAATACCCTTTTGTACTTTTTAAAAATATTTTGTGTTTTGCTTACTATATTTAGTTATAAGTCCATTGGGACATAATTTTAAAGTTTTTTTTCCCTCTTTTATAAGTACATCACGGCTTGTTTTCTAAAAATTTCACATGAAAGGTTCTGAACAGAGTTAAGGTTTTCATATTTGACTATAAATTTTATTACATATTGTTTAATTTAGTATTTTTCTTGGGCATAAAAAGTAATCCTTAGGGTTGACTCTTAGAATTCTTTGGATTTGAATGTATAGAGCATATTCACTTACTTTTTTTTTACCCTCACAATTTTGTTTTGTATTTTTAGGTTCCAATGATTCTGGTTGGTAATAAGTGTGACTTGGAAGATGAAAGAGTTGTAGGAAAGGAACAAGGTCAAAATCTAGCAAGACAATGGAACAATTGTGCATTCTTAGAATCCTCCGCAAAATCAAAAATAAATGTTAATGAGGTATGGTGACATACTTTAAAAAAACTCTTGGTTTGGAATTCAGGATTTAAAATTAATGAAAAATATGTGTATGTGTTAACACAGCTCCAAGTTAATGCTTACTCCGGGTGCTTGTTGATCTTCTAACCAAAAATCTTATCTTAAATATATATGTGTTAATAAGCAGCACAGCTATCTATTATAGCCTCTTTATTAAATGCTGGAATTTACTATGAAAAAAAGAAAGACTGGACAAAAAAAGATAGGGGTGGGAAAGACAGGATTAAGAGTTCAGGTGTGTGTGTATAAAGGATGTTTTGTAAAAGATGGACACAAATTGGGGCACCTGGGTGGCTCAGTTGGTTAAGCGTCCAACTCTTGATTTCCATTTAGGTCATGATCTCACGGTTGGTGAGTTCAAGCCCCGCATTGGGCTCCACGCTGACAGCATGGAGCCTGCTTGGGATTCTGTCTCTCCCTCTCTCTGCTCCTCCCCTGCTTGCTCTCTGTCTCTCAAAATAAATAAAAATAAACTTTAAAAGAAAAAAAAGATGGAGACAAATTCAAGAAGGCATGCACAGTTCTTGCTTTGAAGGGGCTTAAGTAATATTATAGGATAAAGATACATAGAAAGATTTAAAGAGTAAAAGATTGTGTTTTCTTTGAATGGTGTTAAATGTTCTAATGAACTACAATAAGATCTCTGCTGCTTCTTAAGTCAGTGTTTGTTTTAAGGAGAATAATTTTAGCACCCCTAAAAAATAAATAAGAAAATTTAGCAGTTACAGAAATACCTGGTTTTACTTATTCCTTAACTGAACTTGTTAACTCCAATAAGTTAAGTTAACTCCAATACTTGTTGGAGTTCATATATATATCCATGGAAAGTTCAGTCTTTCATTTTACTTTTTCTTTTTTGGGTTTTTTTTCTCCTATAAATTAAAAAAAAAAAAATACTGTGTTTGCAGATCTTTTATGACCTAGTGCGGCAAATTAACAGAAAAACTCCAGTGCCTGGGAAGACCCGCAAAAAGTCAACATGTCAGCTGCTTTAATATATTAAATGCATTGTAGCTCTGAGCCAGGTATGTTAATTTATCTTTTTCCCTAACCTTTAACTTCAGCTTCATTAAGGGCACTCTATGAAGAAAACGAGTATAGAATGTTTTGTTGTTCTAAAAAAAAAAGATGGTTACTTCCTTTTTAAGATATCCACAAGTTAGTATGATATCCCAGTAATTAATTATTTCCTTTATATATCATCAAAAGTAGGGTATTTCATGTAACTGAATATTGTAGGTAAGTTCATCCAGTGTATACTTATGCGCCACTGGGACATTGGTTTGTGCTGACGGTATTGTGGTGAGCAAAACCAACCTTCTTTCCTATCTATAGCCTTAAGCTAAGTCAGGTCTAGTGGAAGAATTAGACAAACAGTTGCAAAATATGATAAATGCAGGATAGTATAAGTCCAGCATCGGATTGATAGTAAAAACTCCTGACACATTTATCATATCCCTGGCACTCAGTATTGTCCACATATTAATTGAATTCTCACAACAGTCCTCTGAGGCAGGAGCTGTTATTCTCCTATAACAGATGAGAGAATTAAAGCACAAAAAGATTATTTCTTGTTCATGCCCTGCAGTTAGTAAATAGCAGAGCCAGAATTTGAATCCAGTGATCTGAGTTCATGGCTCAGAATTTAAACAATGAACTAGCTCTCAAGCCCATGCTTAGTCACTATGCTGTTATAGGTCCTATAGGAGCATATATACCTGGGGCACCAAATTAGTCAAATATAAACTGCGGATTCAGGGAAAGTCCGTCAGCAAAAGACATTGATAGCCAGAGAGTTCCCAGGCATAGAAAACCACAGAAACAACTCAAGAGATGAGACGACAAAGGAAAACTGAACATGCAACATTTTTATATAGTTTTTGAAAACAGTCATATTAAATGAGTTAATATCAGAGCGCCTGGGTGACTCAGTCAGTTAAGCATCCGACTTTGGTTCAAGTCATGATCTTGCAGTTCGTGAGTTCAAGCCCTGCGTCAGGCTTTGTGCTGACAGCTCAGAGCCTGGAACTTGCTTCAGATTCTGTGTGTGTGTGTGTGTCTGCCCCTCCCCTACTTGTGCTCTGTCTCTCACTCAAAAATAAACATTAAAAAAACTTTTTTTTTAATTTTTTTTAAATGAGTTAATACTTGTAAATCACTTAGATCAGTACCTGGTACTTGGTAAACCCTCAACTATCATCTGCTGCTCTTTGCCAATGAGAATGGTTTCTTGCCCCCTTATCATTAAAACTATATTTTACTGTACTTATCCTTGAGAACTTTTAGTATTTGTGGCTCTGCTACTTCCTGTGTTAAAATGGCCCTCTACTATAGCACTTCTGATTCTGCCTCTTAGAGTTTCTGTCCCTACTCTGCATTTAAAGCTTTCTGTTTAGATAAGTGCTCTCATTCCTGACATCCTCTCACTCCTGACCACATGCCCATTCTTGGCACACATGTGCGTGAGCTCACACACTCCCATCTGTGCATTCAGTTTGCTACATTCAGTCTGCTAGGATTTAGAAAAGTTACCAAACTCGTTCAGACTAAATGAGGACTTAAAGTTCAAGGCATTTATAAAAATTGCTTCAACAGCCATATCTATATTAACATCATTTCTGGAACTTGCAGCAAGTCTGAACCCCAGAGAAACAGTAAAAAAAGAAAACTTTTTCATAGTCAGGAATGTATACAGAAAATCATCCAAAGAAAATAAATATTTGGCAGAAAGAGTTCTGATTTTACTTCTTTTACATCACTCACAAATTTTTTAAGTTTAATTACGTATGATTTTAGCATAATACCAGCTTTTTCTGACATCCATCTTAAGTTGATCTAATTTGTTTAAATATGGAATTAGAACATTTATAACTGTCAACTGTTAAGAGCCATCATGAAATAAATTCTGTTTTGTCTGCTACTCTGAACTAGCTTTGTAGCCACTCTTCCTGGAAGAGTATGGAAGAAAGGTCTTGGTTTTCTGGTATTAGAAACCCTGGTTGGATGTGCATTCTATACTTCTGTAATTCTAGGATTGGAAACATTCATTTTGTTAATGTCGCTATCTGTTTTTTAATCCTAATTCTAATAAAGTTGACCTGACCTAAAGTTTTAATGTGGTGTTTTTTATTATTCTGCTTTTAGTCTTTGGAAGGGTAATACACAGAAATTTGCACTAAGGTACATTCCCTTTTTGTATCTAAAACTTTCATTTGACTGACTTTCAGGAGGGCAGCAGAATAGATGAAGTCATTCCAAAAAGATGAAAATGTCTCCCCACACTTTGCTTTGCTATGAGTTGTGTGTACATCGTCACGAATGTAATGACAAGGGCCTGTATTCTCTTCATTTCTAACACTTTAACACTGTCGTTTTAATGTGTTCCTTTGGATCTTGAGTGTGCTGTTTTCAACCCATGTTTTCAATGTAATTTTTTCGTTTTGACAGGTCTGAAGAACTGTTGCCCAATTCAACAGTGCCAGCATTCCAACTTTGTTAAACCTACCAACATCTTAAATGGACTTTCTGTGGTGGTACCCTTTAAGAGGCGGATGAAAGCTACTACATCAGTTTGCACATTCTAATCACTTTCCAGTATCACAAGAGAGATTTTTACTTATATAATAGTCCTAGAGTATGCAGCTGGTAAAACCAGAGGCTACAATCCAGTATTACTGCTAAGAGACATTTTTCATCCACCAATGTTGTACATGTATGAAAATGGTGTACTGTATACTTTAACATGCCCCATACTTTGTATTGGAGAGTACAATAATGTAAATCCTAAAAGCACCACTATTTTAGCATAATAAAAGAAAGTCCAAAGAGCTCCTATATAGACTACTCCAGATAACTTCGCTTCTTTGATACTTGTAGCTTATTGTAATTTTTTTTAAGAAATTCAAGGTCATTATCATTGTATTGTACAAATAAGTGCTTTGATTAACACAGCTATATAGTTTTTTTAATTTTTAAAAAAACCTGTGGAGACAGTGATCTTGTCTTTAAAATATGATAGTCCTTTCAGTATAATGTCTTAGATTAAAGACGTTGCCTTTAATATCTGTTGGGAAGGAAATGTCCAGACTTTTCAAATCTTTTATTATATGTTTCCTTTTTTGTTTACATAGGGAACAATGTTTATAGTTGTGTGTACAGTGGGGGTCTACAACAAGAAGTGTATATTTTCAAACAATTTTTTAATGATTTAACAATTTTTGTAAATCATTTTCAGGCTTCTGCAGCTGTAGATTCTCACTGTGAATCCCTTGCTTGCTCATGCATAAGTGTATTTGCAATACCAAATATACAGGTTTAGTATTTTTGCCTGTTAGTGATTGTTTCACATGTGTAACGTTTTGGTTGAGATGTTAAATGGTGGACGAGTACTGTGGATGTGAATGTGGGAAGTAATTTTAATCATGTGTAATTGGTCACAAGGCCTAAGTTGCAGTAACTATTGCTGTTTTATTTAACAATGCCTTGTTGCTTTGTATGCATTAACGTTTGGGTGTAAAGATTGTGTGTCTATCCAACAGGGAGCCACAGTATTTAAATTGACCAACCTAATGTTACAACGACTTTGAGGTGGCCAAATGTAAACTAAAAGCCTTAATTAAAGTGGTGCAATTTTGTATAACTTAGCATCAGTAGTTCAATAAATTTGGATTGCCATGCAAGGGCTTGCATTATAATTACTTGCCACTTGACTGTGTTTTGTGTAATGTTTAACAGTGCTAGTAAATAAATATGGGTTTAACTTTTTAAATATAATAGGTGCATTTTACATAGTGTGATTTCATAATTTAAGATTTGGACAAGCCAGATTCATTCATTAATTATAGAAATGGTGAGTGAAAGATGTCAGATTTTTTTCCCTAGTATTGTTTGAATAGCCACATAAACCACCTTTTGAATTTTTTCTTGGAAAAGAATTTTGTAAATCAAGCAATATTAATGAACGTATGCCTTTTGGGTAATGTTTTGTAGCTCTTTGAAGTGTAGGGGAAAGAATTGAAAATACTTGGACAAATGTTACGCTTAATGGATTTTTTAAAAATACAGGATGAAGTTATACTTAGAATATTATGGTTATAAAGATCTTGGAATGAAGTGGACTCAAGTACTACTTTCTTTTTAGATAACCTGGCTTTTTCTTATGTGTGCTATAATTCAGTTATTTTGAAATTTGTAAACCAATCTTAACTCAGACTTTCTAAGTTTTTCCCAGTCACTGGAGCATATCAGCAATCGATTAGTGATGCCATCTAATCTAATTTAGGGGTGTCTACTAATCTCTTAAATACATGCCATGTGAATGGAACTTTATCTTTTTTTTTTTTAACGTTTATTTATTTTTGAGACAGAGACAGAGCATGAACGGGGGAGGGGCAGAGAGAGAGGGAGACACAGAATCGGAAGCAGGCTCCAGGCCCTGAGCCATCAGCCCAGAGCCCGACGCAGGGCTCGAATTTACGGACCGCGAGATCATGACCTGAGCTGAAGTCGGACGCTTAACCGACTGAGCCACCCAGGCGCCCCGTGAATGGAACTTTAAAGGCTTTCATTTTATTTTTTTTTATTTTTTTTTTTTATTTTTTTTTTTTTATTTTTTTTTTTTTCAACGTTTATTTATTTTTGGGACAGAGAGAGACAGAGCATGAACGGGGGAGGGGCAGAGAGAGGGAGACACAGAATCGGAAACAGGCTCCAGGCTCTGAGACATCAGCCCAGAGCCTGACGCGGGGCTCGAACTCATGGACCGCGAGATCGTGACCTGGCTGAAGTCGGACGCTTAACCGACTGCGCCACCCAGGCGCCCCAAAGGCTTTCATTTTAAAGAAAAAGGTCTGATCTTTTACAAATTTAACTCCAAGAGTTCCATGTATTTAAAAGTTTTATGTATCTAAAGAAAAACCTGTTCTTTCAGAAGTCCCATGTACTTAAGAGACTTATCTTGGAAGAACTGGTTTTATTAATAGTCATTGGGAGAAAAAACTCCAAAAAGTGGGATTATGGGGCACTAAAATTGCCTTGATTTGCTGTGTCCTGTTATACCCATTTGACCTTCTTTGAGGGCATCACCATTAATTTTGTTACCTTTAATAAATGTTGTCTACCAGCTGGGCACAAGGCTGAGTTCTAGGCTCTTGAAAACAAATATTCAGGTAAGTTTAACACTTACTGGTCAAGCACAATTGTTCTAGGTGTGAGGATAGAGCAAAAACTGAGATCAGCTTAGGACCCTGCCCTTCTAGAATTTATACTCTCTTACAGGATTTCTCAGCCTCGGCACGGTGTGTGTTTTATGCTGGTAACGAGTTGTTGGGAGGCTGTCCTGCGCATTACAGAATTTTTAGCAGCACATCCTGTATCTGCCCTGTAGATGCCAGTAATACTACCGTCACCCCCAAGTCGTGACAACCAAAATTGTCTCCAAACTTTGCCCAAGTGTTTTCCAGCTAGATTCAGGGAGTGAGGGGTTGTTGAAGGACAAAATCACCCTGCCTGAGAACCACTGATCTGGTGGGAAACAACACATTAATTACAGATGAGTGTTAGGGGAATAAAGTGGACACTTCAGTATAGTGAATAAGACTGTGGGAACCAGATTTCTTGGGTTTCTAATCCCAGCTCTGCTACTTCCTAGCATGTGACAGTGGTTAGGCACCTCTGTTCCCGTATCTGTAAAATAGGAATGATAATAGCACCCCTTCATATAGAGTTAAAGGGAGTGAAATAAATGCCAGTGCCATCCTCTTGGTCAATATTTTGTTTTGCTTTTTATTTTGTATTTTGCTACTGGAAATAGGACTGTGGTTTGGCAAAAAGCATCATTGTCTCCCATACAAAATAGTAACGACAGGGGCACCTGGGTGGCTCAGGCAGTCAAGTATCTGACTTCAGCTCAGGTCATGATCTCACAGTTCGTGAGTTCGAGCCTGGAGCTTGGAACCTGATTCCCATTCTGTCTCCCTCTCTCTCTGGCCCCTTCCCAACTCATGCTTTGTCTCTGTCTCTCAGAAATGAATAAATGCTAAAAAAAAAAATGTTTAAAAAAACCAAATTAGTAACTGCAGCTTAGGAATTCGAATCCTATTGATGGACTTTTCTGGTGCTTAAATGGAAAAATACTAAAATATAATTCAATTGGGAAAAATCATGAGTACTTCTTCATGTCCCCAACAATACCTGGAGAAACTTCAATTTTAGGAGAAAACCAGAATGTCATTTCACCTAATTTTTTCTACAAAGGTGTAAAAAAACGCTGCTTTGACTTTCATGTTGTTGTTTTATTTATTTAATATATAATCTTCAGCACATGTGGATATTAGGAGTAGAAAGTTTTAACATACCCAGTTATGAAAGTAAATTTTGCTTTGTTTTTTAAATCCTTTCATCTTTAGATGTGGGGCAACAAACTTAGAATCAAAACTTATCCCTGCAACATCCTTTCTTTTAGTTTTCCTCATTCTGTGCTTTCACTGAATTTAATCTCCAGCTGTTATTTTGTCCCCTCCCTTTTAAGTCTTGGAAATGTAGTAAGGAGTTATAGTATTTTATGATTAATACTCCTATGACTTTAGCTTAGAAATCTTAGTGTTTTCAGGCTTCTCCTAAACTATCAGTGAGTCTTAACAATTGTGATTTATAGGACTCAAGTTTTTGCTTTATTCTGTAATTTGCTCCATTGCATCAATACATCTGGTATTTTATGAATGCACTAAGAGAAGTGTAATAGATTCAGAGTAGAATGAAACCTAGTTTCTCATAACTGACTATTCAAAGAAAAATGCATGAGTCTTTGTTGGGGTATTGATGGTATTTCTCAAAATTAGCTAGTAAGCCTGTTAATGGAGCAGCTAAGTTTGTGGGCTTGACATTAGTTTCTCTTTGAAAGTAAAATACTGCTAAAGAGGTCTGTTTTCTAAATGCAGATAAAAAGTATTGCACGTGTTGCACATAATTTTAACTTGCTTTCTTAAAACATCCTTGTTTGTAGCCTATAGATTACTGAACTAAGAATTTAAAGATTTTATCCAAAATTAGAGACATCTACCTGGTTTTTGTATCAAAGAATCAGCAGACGTATTCAGTATTGCATGTCTGCCGTGTTCCAGGCATTGTTCGCCGTGTGAGGGATACAGCAGGGTCGTTTTGCCCACATGGAGCATACATTCTATTGGGGGGGGGGGGGGGGGGGGGGAGACAAGTGGCGAATGAGCAAAGCTCATTTGGTTATTGTCTTTTAAACTTTCTCAGAGCTTTCCATTTGGGACAATTTAATGGTTTCAGGAAAATACTATTTTTAATATGTATAAATATCATTTATAGGCAGTTAATTTCTCTGATTTGTCTGAAAGGGTATGGAAAGAATTTTTACTATTAGGAACCTAGTTTAACCTGATTTTCCTTACACGATGACATAAATAATTACCTAGGTTCAACACGGGTCAAAATCCAGGGTTTTTTTCTGAAAACTAAACACATATCTTGCAGGATTTTTATGTGAATAATACTTTCACTTAAGTCAAAAGGTTATAGCAGTTTTTTTTTTTTTTTTTTTTATGTTTGTTCATTTTTGAAAGACAGAGACAGCACAAGCAGGGGTGGGCGGAGAGCGAGGGGGGACACAGAATCTGAAACAGGCTCCAGGCTCTGAGCTGTCAGCACAGAGCCCGATGCGGGGCTTGAACTCACGAACCGTGAGATCATGACCTGAGCCGAAGTCGGATGCTCAACCGACTGAGCCACCCAGGCGCCCCTATAGCAGTTTTTAAATAGGCAGAGATCAAAGTCTAATGTTTTTGTCATTTGCCATTAATACCCATTCAAATTTCTGTTGTAGTCTGTACTACAGATACTGTACTATAGTATAGTAGTCTGTATCCCCTGTGAGCACTGAGTTCAGAACAGGAAACTTACTGTCAAAGTTTTGAATGTGTAATGTACCATGCTCGGGCATAGAGGAGTAGCAAAGAATAAATGACAGAATAAGCCCAGACCCTACTGGCAAGGTGTTTAATGCATCGATGGTGGGAAAGATCAGTCAACAAGTATCAAAAAAGTGAAAATGTAAAATTCATATCTAACCACAGACCGGTTGTGCTTATTATCTCTACTGATACTAATGATTAAAAATTGCATTTTGCTTTAAAATATATGGACTATTTGAGGGGTGAATGGGTGGCTCAGTCGGTTAAGCGTCCGACTTCGGCTCAGGTCGTGATCTCAAAGTTTGTGGGTTAGAGCCCCACGTCAGGCTCTGTGCTGACAGCTCAGAGCATGGAGCCTGCTTCAGATTCTGTGTCTCCCTCTCCCTCTCTGCCCCTCCCCTGCTTGCATTCGCTCTCTCGCGCACACGCGCACTCTCAAAAATAAATAAAAAAAATTTTTAATAAAATATGTAAACTATTTGATTTATATTTGTTTTGCTCAGGTCAGTTTTAGTTAGATTCTCTGAGCAAATTAAGGACTGATTGGAGAACTACATAGCTGGCAGGAAAAAAAAGTACCTTTCCATGCTGGGAACGGAGTACAATCAAATAAATAATATAGTATATACAGTGGGTAGTTAGCCGGGAAATACCCTGTTGTTCTAAATGAGAATCATATCGGGGCGCCTGGGTGGCTCAGTCGGTTAAGCGTCCGACTTCGGCTCAGGTCATGATCTCACGGTTCGTGAGTTCAAG